TGTAAGCAGATGGTTAGTGAGAATGGAACAAAAACAACTTTTTTTTCCGTTCTATCCTTGACATGTGCCTATCTTTGGGCGTAAAACATTTACAGAATCGATGAACTATTAAAACTATGACAGTAATATATCTTGTCTATCGTCAGCAGCATTGAAAACGACACAATTGTTGGATTTTCGTCCTTTGTTGGACCAACGACAATACGCGCGTATATCATGTATCCGAATAATTAATTTTGAATCAATTTCATTTGATTTTAATGGATGAAAGAGATAGGATACAATAATGCCAACAATAACTACAGTACCGACAGCAATAGGTGTGTACCACATATGACTGATAGAGTAAAGACTGAGTAATAGATTAGATCTAGAACATAGTAGATTATTTTAGAGTAAAGAATACATTTATTTGAATACCTACTCTACATGTCCAGATGTTGATGTAGTCCTGTTTAACATAGGTAATGTACCAATATCTGTACAATTGAGTATTGATAATGGTAATCGATGATTGCTCAATTGATGCTTTGTTACTTGTACACCAATAAAGATCCACAATTGGAAGACTAAACTAACGAAAAATCCAACCAGTGCACCCAATCGATTTGCCCTGGGAAAGAAAAATCCAAGAAAGAAGACACCCATGATTGGCCCACAAAGGGTACTCGATAATGATATTGCAGCATTGATAACAGAACCCAGATGGCTCACAAAGTATGTAAGTAGTACGATGACCAGGCCAATAAACATGGAAACGATTTTCGATACAATACCTTGATGCTCTCTGTTCAAGTTTCGTCGCATAACTCCTTTATAAACATCTTCAATCATCACTGCTGCCATACTATTGAGTCCCGATGAAATGGTGGAAAGCGAACCAGAAAATGCACAAGCAAGGAACAAACCTGGTACACCTTTCTTATGTCCGACTGTTTCCATAATAAAATAGGGCAAAAGTTGATCAACATTTTGAATACGACCAGCTGTGTACGGATCACAGCCGACATAGTAGGCATACAGGATAACACCCATTAAACATGAAAGAAGAATGAGACTAGTGACACCAACTATGTTGACAAGGAGAGCCTTTTGTGCTTCTCGCGTTGATTGAACACACATATACCGTTGTACTTGCATTTGATTGAAGCCATATGTTAACAATGCATTGAAAGAATTACCAATTAAAAGTGACCAAACAGTATGGCGTGTTCGTGGATCAAAACTTATACTAGAAAAGAAAATAATTCGACGAGACTCTGTATCTTTTGACTTCTTTTTCGTAAATCAGAACGACTTTGTCGTACTTATCAAACTCAATACGATATCCCTGATGCGCAATTGAAAATGCTCGCTCGAAACCACCGACTAAAATTAAGCCTTGTATAACACCAATAAAAACACCCGCATACATAACCAATGCTTGTAAGACATCCGTCCAAATAATTGCCTTCATCCCTCCCTGTACATAGATGCATATAGCAATATCTTTCTCCTGCTCTATTGGTCACATACCACTGATGAATAAAAAATACAAACGGCACTGATAGAAACAACCGAAAGCCATTTATTCAGACCCGTAGCTAAATTACATTAGTCTTAGAAATAATGATACAATATTAATTCATGAGCATACTTTGGCTCAGTGCCAGGGCCGGTGCGTACAGGACTAAAGCCATGTAGATAAACTAAATAGTCAATAAGACTATGTGGTACGTGCATGTACATGAGGCAAAATTTTTCGATACCATATAGACCGTGAAAGTAATAGAAGTGCATGATCGTACTGATTGACCAAAACGCTTCTCTAAATACTGATAAATGCTGGTAAATTTCATTTCGCGAAACTTTGGCATGAAAACAAAAGCTGTTATCATCGATGCAATACTCCATGCAGCAGCTAAAAAACCAACATTATCATGATGAAATCATCGTCGATTATTGTTTTTCATTCATCTACCTTGATACCAAAACATTGTTCCTGACATGTATACTTCACTCGGTGTGCCAAGTATAGTAATAGCTGATAGAAACGACACCGTAATACTCAGTGCCGTCGGAAACATGTGCATTTTTCCATCGGCTAGAAATGAATGTCAATAGAAATTATTCTGTTTTTAAGTAGTTCTGTATGTGTATACCTAAGAAAAACTCTTCAGACGATGCTTTCTTTGATTTAACAAAACCAAAGATGATACCAATGAGAGCTGATAGCAGTAATAGAATTATCAGAACAACATAATCAAAGACACTCAATGTAGATGATCTCATTCTGTCGCAAACGAAAGAAAAAAAAATTGATATGACATTTTCACGACGTACATATTCGTTTTAATCCGATAAGAACTGGAAAGATACAGATTTGCACACGATGCATGTGTGAGAATATAACACACACTTCTGATGAAAAGAAAACGACGATATTTGGATTAGATCTACATTTTCATCCTGTATTTGATGACTTTTACGATTTTTTGAAACAATGTTATCAGTTGACGAAGAGAGAATTGTAAAAAAAGATAAATACCAAGATCAGAATCTGAAATTTTGCAACAAGAATGACACGTGCACTATTGTTTTTCTACTTGATGACTTTAGCTTTGAGGTTTTCGAAATCGATCAGTAACTACGCTGCAGTGAACACATTCTATCCCTTTCTCTCTCAGGATGGTGCTGATCCATGGGTTTATAAACATCCTACGAATGGATTTTACTATGCAACGAAATCTACTCAGACCAATGTCACCATTTGGCGGTCACCTTACTTGTCTGCATTGGACATCGGACAATCGAAANAAAAGAGTCAAAGGACTACTTGTGTTGCTTTTAATTATTATATATTCCTGACTGACAATTACTCTTCACAGAAAGCAGAAGTTCGCTATAAATGACTATTATGGATTTGCACTTTTAAACATGTCCTCCTTTTTCTAAAAGAAAGATATTTTTTTCGGTAAGATCAAATGAGACTCTGTATATATTTCGCATTCGAACGTGTCGGATTGTTGATACTTTGATAACTGACTAGATTATCTACTTATTAAAAAGCTTGGAGGCTTTTAACAACTTTCGACATATCGATAAGCTCAGCATTTAAGATTGCTTCCCAGTATGTAACTTGTGAACGATTGTATTTTTGAATTACCGGCCTTTGATATGCGACAGTCAACCAAGTGTGTTTTTATTTTTTCGTAATCAACTTTTTCTATGTAGCCCTACTCTCAGCCACGGATGGAATGCTTTCTTCATCTCTGTCACGTCCCTGCCCCTACATTTCTCCCAAACAATGTTGGACGAGGTTTTGGACATTTGCGAAAAAATGTTTTTTTGGCCTTTAGCTCTGACACAAACAGATATACATACATACAAACTACTTCTTCCATATAACCCTCCTTTCAGCCGAGGGAATAATTTATATAAATCACTCGATCATCAATTGGCAGATTCACCTCATGAGCCTGATTACGAGTTCACATTTATGTGGCCGATTTGTAATTGAATTTCATATTCGTGATAATGAACTAAAGAAACGTGCTTATAAAAGACTTGCATATTGCGGTGCGACTATCAGTTCTGATGAATTATCTTTATATGAAACAGCACTTAAACATCAACCGCGTGTTGTTCTTGTTTTTAAAGCATTTGCAACAACAAATGAAAAAAAATGACCTAGCTCTTTCATTTATTCCTGGTCATTCAAAAGAAGAAGGTCATATCGCAGTTTTATTTGTTCTTGAAATAAAAGTTGAATTTCCTACTGTGATAGGCATTGCAGATGTCTCAGAATATGATTATGAAAAAGAAGTACTGTCTATCCAGGGAAATCTGTTTACTGTGAAGAAAACTAATCGAGATGTTATTGTTTATACGAAATTACAGAAACTCATTTAGAATATTTACATATACCTATTTCACTTTGGGGGAAACTTTGACATACGTACGTATCGATCAGCCATACATAGTGTAACCAATAACGAAACTAGCTGAGAGAAAGAGTTGAATGGTAATGATGAAATTTTATGTAAACTTTTGAACAAAAGTTTCAGAGTTTGTTCATGAGAATATGATCAAGGACGGGTTTTGTAGATAGAAAAGAATTCTCTCTTATGTGAGGAATACTATTTTTATTGATGCTGAATATGCAGATACATAGTATATAGAGTTTCTAGTAAAACGTGTTTCATAACAAATATATTCTATTCATTGTAAACGTCTTTGATCAGGCTTATACGATAAAGAATTGCTTGATAATCATATTTCTTGAGTAGATCGTTAAATGTCATTGGAGTCGTTTAATTGAATGTTTATTTATTTTTCTTGTTTTCAATATCATGTAAAACTTTATGAAAAATGTAAACATTTTATAAAACAAATATTTCTTTAGAAATCATGGTAGTATACTAAATTTTAGTTTGAAACTACAGAATCAATGACGAAAAGAAAGTGACTATTACCCAGGTGCATCAATCCGACAACGGATCCGAGTATGAGGTTGGTCGACCTAGGCAGCATTTTATGAGATTAATTTTGCTCTACAAATCGAGTTATCAGCGGGTACTCAAATTTTCAGTAAAATTCTTAACAATCTATGATAGTTTTCAGGAATCTCGTTGGTACATTTGAAAATTTGAACAAAATGTCAACAAGCATTTGTATTCTTCCATTAATTAAAATCTAATCTACTTGTGTCATGCATTATTAAGAATGGATTCGAACGTGACATAGTTATTGACGATAACATTGATAACTTTATCTGTTTTCTTCGAATGAAGTAGTTTGAACCTCATCCTTGTACACGCACATCTTATACACAGTTAGCTAATTTCGATGAAAGAGTGGTGTGCGCTTTAATTATTTTCAACGAACTGGTTTTTCAGAGAGGTTTTTTTTTTATATAAAAGGGCACTTTGGAATATAAAACTGAAAGTCAATTCTTTGATACAATATATAAGTGTTTGAGATCTACGTCTTTAGAAAGATTGTTTACCATATCGAATTTGATGGATGATCTGCCAATGAGCATCTTTTTTGCTGCAGTTCGGATAGCTCAAATTATTCCACCAATTCAAATAGTTATTGGAACGATAGGAAATGTTTTTAATATTATTCTTTTCACTCGTCCTAGTTTGCGTATTAATCCATGTTCAATGTATTTTCTAGTCGGTTCAATTAATAATTTTGTGTTTATTTATCTTTTTTTATTGACTGATTATCTTTCCAATGTTTGGAACGTGAATATACCCCAAAATACTCAACTCTTGTGTAAATTAATCAGTATTATTCGCTATATCTTATTCTCTCTTCGCTTATGGTTTCCAGTTCTTGCTAGTATCGATAGATTTCTATCGAGTTCATCAAAAGTAGAATATCGTCGGTTAAGTAGTTTATCAACAGGAAAACGAGCAATCGTAGGTATTTATATATTTTTTCTTCTCCTTCATGCTCATATACCCATATTTTTCGAACAAGTTCCTTACTTTGATGATTATATTTGTGGTATATCGTCCTATGAATATTATATATTCTATAACGTTTTTGAACCTTTTATGGCGTGTATTTTACCAATTGTTTTGATGTGTATTTTCGGTATGTTGATCATACGAAATGTCCGAAGTACTCGTAATCGTGTTGTTCCATATGGTAACAATGTAAAAAATGAACGTCTGCGTTCTAATGATCGTCATATGATACGAATGTTACTATTTCAAATATTCATTACTATTTTAATTTCAATTCCATATGTAGCTACTACCACATACTATACATTAACTATAATTATATTTGGACATGACTTTACACCATTAGAATTGATGATTTATCGATTAACTAGTATCATAACGAGATATCTTTACGATACTAGTCTTATTACTGGATTTTACATTTACACATTGGCAAGTGGAAAATTTCGTAGTGAACTCAAATCTTGTCTTCTTAAAGGACTCAATGTCGTACTCATTAAATTACAGTTATACAAAAATTCGTATCAATAAAGGTACATCAAAGATTGCCGAATCCTATCGCAGCAAGTACCATAAATGTTGTTTACGATAAAACAACGTAATTAAATATTACAAAAGCCTTAGAATTTTGACATAATTTTTTCTCTCTCTCTATGTGCGTATTTTCATGTTTTTATATGAAGTATTTACATTGTGTGTCGATGAATAAATTGCTTTTCTATTTTGTTGATGTTTTCTCATTAATAAATATTGTCAGGATCGTTCCGTTTAAAAATAATTCGAACTTCTCAATATATCTTTTCTATGAATTATGCTCAAGAATTGTTTTTAATACAATGGAAGTATACTTTACTAAGCTTTTTTATTTTTTTCTTTAAATTACAAAAACTTTTTATATAAAAAATCTCATTATTTCTCTCTGATATATTTTTCGTAGAAATTATGTTACAAAATATGTGGAAACAATTAATGCTAAGTGTCTCTTTGAAACACGTTCACACGGTAGCAAATTGCCATTCATTCTACGTCGAAAACGATAGAGAAATAGAAGAAAATGTCAAATTGTTAGGTTTCTTTTGAAGAAGACATCCTTTAATGCTATTCCTTATTTCAAAGGTTCAGACACAGATCCTATTGATTGGAAAAAGACATTTCATTTTACGACGAAAATCACAGCATGAAGTACTTAGGGCATGACAAAAGCTCTAGCAGTGATAGTTTAACATCGTTCAGCAGGCTTAAATAATTTTTCTTCTGTATAGGATGATAGCGAAAAAAGCTCTATCCTTCTATGCTATTTGAGGGTGTGGGTGAGGGTAGAAGTTGAATAGTTAAAACTCGAGGTTAGAAGTTGAATAGTTAAAACTCGAGGTTAGAAGTTTAATAGTCGAATCGAGTTAACGATTTCTACACTACGCAAGAACGGCGAATGTTGTAATCAAGTTTGAAAAAAATTTAAATATATTTAACGAAATCGATAGAACGATAGAGACGTTAATGGGAATGCAAAATATATTTGTTTTTTTTTTGTCGTGGAAGATATGAAGAATTGAATGTGTGGATTCAAAAATATTTTCAAAAGGTTTTTTCTGAGGGTTTCCATATGCAATACCTCTGGAAAATTTCCCACCACTAGCGCCCTTGGTGAGTGCGTAATCCTTTTCCATGAGGATCTTCATCTGTCTGATCCTGCCCAGTACGATAAGATGCCAGCATAGTAGAGTATTAGGCCAGTTCTTCCTGTGAAAGTCATATTTACACCATCAGACATCTGATCCTCGGCGACCTAGAAGGTTTACACATAGATGAAATTGTTTTGAGTTCTATTCATGCATGTCATATATATAATATACACAAGAAATCGGAAAGTTATAAATGCTTCTAGGCGCTACTTGAGTAAACGTAAGCGTGAGAACTGAATTGAAGCAGTTCGAAACATTTGTAACTTTCCAGTTTCTTGTGTATATCATATATGACATGCATGAATAGAACTCAAAACAATTTCATCTATGTGTAAACCTTCTAGGTCGTCGAGGATCAGATGTCTGATGGTGTAAACATGACTTTCACAGGAAGAACTGGCGAAATACTCTACTATGCTGGCGTCTTATCGTACTGGACAGGATCAGACAGATGAAGATCCTCATGGAAAAGGATTACTCACTCACAAGAACGCCTTACCTACACCGCTCACAGAATTGCCTATACTACTCACAGCTGAACATAGACTCACTCAAACAGCTATGTAAAATGAAAATTTCTACCTTTCTCTCGTCCGCTTGATCGCGCTTCTCCATCACTAACAGACTACTGGCGACCTGAAATAATTCTAAAGCACAAACACAGGCATTCACTGAGAACAAGTAGTTATATTTCATTCGCGCATTCCGCCCAACCTATAACCTAAACAGCGAAGAATAATATATGGGAAGAAATAAGTATATACTTATCTATCTAATTGATCTCCATGTAGCCAAGTCATTTGAATGATTAGCCGGACAGTACACGCCATAACAGGGCCATATATCAGCATAAAACAAAAGACTGCCTACTCAAACTCGATGGTTCGGGAGGTATCGGACGAAACTCCTCAGGCCTTCGTTTAGGAATTAATGGTTCGGAAGGTGTGGCACGGAACTCAAGAAGGTTCGGCATCCGAAATGCGAAATCTCAGTCAGCCTAGTGATGTGCGTAAAGGCTCGGTATGTCTAATACGAAACCCGACATGGTTTCGTAAGTCTGTTCCGAAACCTTTATGTGCTCTACGGAACTATGACAGGTTTTGTACCAGACAGAAGAAACCAAAAAAGTTCAGTATACGAGCTGCTGAACCTTTCAATGGTTTGGCAATAACAGCACGAAACCTTTTTGGTCCTCAAAACGTAAAAAAAGTTCTATATTTACGCTACGGAACCATTTTGATGGTGCCAAACTTAAAATAGTTCCGTGGGCCATCACTAAACCGGAATGGCTTGGTGGACTACCTTTTTTTTCAGAGTAGCTACCTCTTTTACTCGTTTATTTCATTTTCTTTTCACTGTTTTTCTTTTTTCGATTTCAAAAAAGGTTCTTTGTGTACTCAAAAAGTGAGTACACTATAGAATCGGTCAGTATGTCCGTCCGGGCGTTAATCTAGTGGCGTAACCAGGGGCGGGCTAGCCCGGGCACCGAGAATAATCAAGTAGTAATTGGTATTGAAGCGTTGATCTTTTTCGTATGTTCAATCATTCTTAAAAACAGTTTATGAATGATATTTACAGTATAATCTAGCTAAATATGTCAATTTTGACACATCCTCATAGTTTGATTAATGTTATAATTACTCAGACTAATGAACATAGCCATGAAGTGGAACTTTCTAAGATACATGATGAGATTATCAATTTCTCTAGTCAATATAAACTTGATTTATATTTATATACTGAATTGAAAAAAAGCGAGACTGGAAAAACTTCTATTACGATAATTAAGAGTCTGATTATATTTTATCGAGCAACGCGAAGAAACTAATAATAGAAATAAATTTAATCTATCAGATTTCTATTTAATAATCGGCTGAATTCTACTTGCGATGAATAATCGCTTTTGCAGAAGAAATAGTGAAAATCTTCACTGTATTTCATCATTATCACCTAATAGCTCGACATTTTTAGAAAGATAAGAAATGGAAACTTCATGAACAAAATTAAAAAGTGAAATTTATCTGTAAATACTGAACCACAAGTAGTGAATCGAGGACAACCTTGTAACCATCAAAATTCACAGAAATGATTAATTTGTAACGTGAAATATTTCCAGTACAACATGCATTTCTAATTATTATATTACTTCTTATTAAAGCTATGACGATTCTAATATTGTCTACTACAACCGAACGAACTTTCAGGAGAATTAAGGTAATCCGATGTGTTTTGGATAGTAGTACGCTGGACAGGAGGCTCAAAGTTACTGATTTATCAGTATTTGCATCTGAAAAAGATGTTTGTGTCAATTAGGAAAAAGATTATTGATATTTTTTCTATATAACATAGAAACAGTTGAATAATGCCGAAATAGGCACTGTCGAGTTTTTCTCTTTCTTGTTTTTGCTAGGCCTTATTTGAAAGAATAGTAAAATATATTGCTTTGACTCTGTCTTAATTGTAGGGTAACAGAGAATGGAAGATTTGAGTGAGCCATAGAATATATTTTTACTATTGTCAGGGAGTTTCTAAAATGTGCAGGGCGACGCCCGAGCACCCACATTTTCCTGGTTACGCCACTACGTTAATCCGATAACTCCTGAAAGAATTATCCAATTGTCATGAAATTTAGTACATAGCAGTATATTGTCAATGTCGCAGACGAGTTCGAAGATGAGCTCGATCGACTGTAATACTGCTAACTTACAAAAAAATCTCAGATTTTTGCGTGCCATCTGATACACTTTTTGAAGTACACATAGCTTTCGGATAAAGTCCGAAGTTTTCGCATTTACTTTTTTATAAATGTAGAACCCTGATGAGTGTTTTTTATTCTTCTCAATAAGTACACGAAACGTGTCGGCGAAGCAAATTCTGCATTTATTTTTAATTAGAAATCTATTAATTCTAAAGATATTATTTGGTATTAAAGATCGATTGCTGAACAGCAAGAGTTAACATCAGCATATTAATTTGTATTTTGAATTTCTAAGTTAATCTGCTTCATATTAATACACCCACACCCACACCCAAATTTCAAATTAATTGGATTACTTATTGTATTTTAAAATTATTGTTTCAATGGAGTGATGAAGAAGGCATTGAAGTTCCATATTCTTTATACGATAAAAACGAAGCGAATGCCTTTTTTGATCGACATAAACGCCAACTTTATTCAGCATTTGTCAAATATTGGTCGAGTCATGCAATGCACAAATCTTCAAACTGCAATATTGGTTGCACTGATATATTGATAGTTGATGGACATAAAAAAACTGCTCGAACAACGTGTAAATTCAACAATTGCGATGACAACACTATTGAAGAGCTCGGATCAGTACTTGTTGGATGTCCGAAGTCGGTTTCTAAACACCCAAGTGCGAATTCAATCACAATTTTCGTTCTAAACACTGTCTGCTCTCAAAATTCTTTAGAAATTAATTCGAATGCTCTTTGCGAAAAGCACTTCGAATTAGTTGCGAATCATGGTGCCCATGTGATGGAATTCGATGTAGCAGATGATGTAACAGAAGAAACGTGTAATGTCAAACGAAATGAGTTAGGTGATAATCAAACTCGATCAACAGCTTATGGATTTTTGGCTTCATTTTACTCGTGTGGTATCGTAGCTGGTTTTGATGAATCAATACCATCCGAATCGCCGCGTCGTGTTTTAAGACATTTAATTAGAATCGGTAAACTATATACATATATCTATGTTTTACTTCATAAATCGTGTCCATTTAGCACGAATCAGCAAACCTCCGTTGGGAATTATATACGATAATGCGTGTTCGATAAAACTATATATTGGAGCACGATATGGAACAGAGTATTTTAAATCTACTTCGATTAGTGACCATTTGTTTCACAATGTTCACTTCGTACTCGATTCTTTCCATCAACGAAATCACATTCCACACATGTGCAAAAATGAAATGCGATCAGATCATCCGTCTCATAAGAATATGTTTGATTATATTAATAGTCAGATAGCCGAGCAAACGTTCTCCATCATCAGTCAATACAAAACGCACTCGTCTAGTTATTCGTACCCAAAAAGTTACCTAAATCTTATCGTATTTTTCCATATATATAATTGTGACGTATCTCAGACTTGGTTTTAAATAAATTTTTACTTTCATCAAATATGAAAAGCTCTTTGATATAATACGTACAAAAGCACACATTACTCTGATGTTACGAGAAATGTGTAAATCATTATTTTGCTATGTGAGCGCAGATTGGTACTAATAATACGTGTTGCTTGATCATATAAAGCACAAACCGTAACTCAATTCATAGTTCACAAAAGTTTCACATTTGATTTTATTCATATTATGCATTGGAATGGATTCCGCTTGGAGTTTGACCTCAGTTCATCTCGATTTATTTCATTTCAACGAGAAAGGAAGAGTATACCGCCATGTTACCTTTGAATAAAAATGTATTTCTTGAAACACGTTAGTTTTACCTAGATTAAGCCAAATTCAAGTCATAAAGCGCTCGTATATTGCGTCTTCCTGTCACTGTGTTGCATACAAAATAAAATTCTGTCATCTTCACTGTAATCAATCGAGTTCAAGCCAATTCAATCCATGATTGAATATTATAGTACAACCGTGATACCATTTCCATCTAAAAATAAATTTCCAGCCCAACCCACCCCAATTCAAACTCTACAATCGCACTCTCTTATTAAATACTTTTATATTGAACATTAGCGACTGACTGCAACTATTATTAATATGGGTTGATATGGATTTCCTGGAAATCTATTTCAATATTATTTTATCTGAGTTTCCATGAAGTTGGAATTTACCATGGCATGTTAATTTCTGACCAAGAAATCTTAAAGTTCTATAAAAATCACAAGATTTGCTCTTGAAAATATGATTCTGCAAATCCCCGACTAGTCGCTCGTCGACCTCCCTCCGGTCGGCCACTCGCGGCTAGCCGTTCCATGTACATTTTCACTCTTCCATTTAGTCTAGAGCCACTTTTGAAAATGATCCATTCATTCTCTTCTATTCCTTCTTTAAAGTCACCCTCTTTGTGCTACTGTGACTGTCGAAGACAACACCTGACACACGAAACATTATTTTGAATGACTGGTGTCAGATCATATTCGTATAGTATAGCAGTTTATAAAAGTGTGTGATCTCATTAATATGCTGATGACTATGAAGATCCAGCTATCGGACGTCAGTCAGCTATTACATTTTGTTGTACATATTGCCGCTTAAAACATTATCGTCTAGAAAAATTGATCCTTTGTCGCAAAAAATCAGGCCAGAAAGTGTTTATGAAAAAACTAACACCGGATTCGAGATCCTCGACCCCGATTACCTTTCGGTCAACTCTTACTCGAAGACCGAAAATATTTTTTGTCTAATTAGTTAATTAGCTAATTAGAGTTTAGAGAAACTGACCTCGGATTCGTGATCCTCGACCTCGATTACCCTTCGGTCAACCTTTATGTGTCAGTAGGATGGATTGTTTTTTTATTACTGTAAAGTAGCTGAACGGATAAACGAACAAACTTTAACTCAAATTCTGCGCACGCCCTCCTTTCAGTAGAGGGAACTTCGGAGAAATACTAATAATCTCTCTAACACTACAAAAGTTCAACGTCTCCTTTATTGGGTGGTGTTCTAACACCATCTAGGCTAAACCTATCCGTACAACATTTAAAAATGAATAGGGAGAAGGGAAATAGCACACGGAAAGCGCACCAATTCCTTTTTCGGTAATTCTAAAGTTGCATTATTTACAGGGATCTCTGATGATTAAAGTTTCATTTTGGACGGCAGCCTATATGACGATTAATGACATATTCAGTTGTATCTACACCTTTGACAGAATTGCTTACCACAATGATGATTAATGGAGTAATCATTGATGTACTTTTGCAGATTATTCAAAATATGATCACACAAGTAAATAGTACATTAACGTCTATAGAAAAATGCGCCGTTCATCACTTGAAAAAAGTACATACGTGTATTACAGCTAGCATGATTCATTATATTCTGCTTTGTCCTTGCAATATTCACAGGAAGAAACAAAAATAAACATGTATGACGAAGAAAATTATTTTCATTGCTGTACAAACGATAAAAGCATACTGTTAGCGATAAAAAAAGTACATGCTAGATTGTCATACACTCTCAGGTATATATATATAGATGGATAAATTTCAAAGCATAATAATTGTGTCTTATTACATTTTACAAGAAACAGAAGGAATTCAAAAGAAGAAGAAAAAACAAAAACATGCTATCTATTAAATTTACTACACTGGCTATCTTTTCACTTTTGGTAGTCACAACTTTTTCAAGTAAGTACTGACTAAATTTTGTTTAGAAAGAATAATAACTTACTTTAAATACAACTGATATTCTAGATGGTAATGTACAGCAACAACTACGGAATAAACGAACTGTCGTTTCAGGATGTTCATTAACACCAGAAATCGAAGAAGGACCGTACTATTACAATGGATCATTAGTACGACAAAATATAACGTAAATATCAAAGAAAACTTCTATAGGAATAGTGTTTTGTTATTGTCAGAGTTGATTGTATGTAATCTCTTTGTTGATTTTAGAGAATCACAAGCTGGTATACCGTTTACATTGATGGTAACTGTAGTCGATACAAATAATTGTTCTGCAATTGTTAATGCTGCTGTTGATCTATGGCATTGCAATTCTATTGGTGTTTATTCACATTTTGAAACAAGTGTTGTCAGTGCAACAACATATTTACGAGGTGTACAATTAACAAACACGGATGGACAAGCAACATTTTATACAGTTTATCCTGGATATTATGGTGGACGTGCAACACATATTCATGCTAAAGTTCGTTTTGGTGGTGTGGAAACTACTAGTGGCTCAGTCTATTATTGGGGTGGACATACATCACATACAGGCCAAATCTTTTTCAATGACAGTTATACAACATTAGTTCAAGCGATTTCACCTTATAGTTCAAACACAGTAACACGTACGCTAAATAGTGTTGATCGTGTTTATACACAACAAGATGGTGTTGATTCCTTAGTCACATTAGCATATGTGAATCAAGCAAA